TTGGTGTGTTGCAAAATGTGTTGTCTTTTTATCCTTTTAAGCCTGATACAGATTATAATATTGTCTGATTTGAGTGTTCATTGTAAATCTGATCATGTCAACTCCTGGTTAAAATTGTACTGCGTTTTCAAAGGGCTTTATCCTGATACTAATATTCTTAGCCAGGCATAGAAGCTTGACCCCTATTATACATCTTCAGTCTCATTTCACACCACAGTGAACTTGGCCATCTGCATTCTATCTCATCAATCTTCTTTCTGTTCGTACAATAAGCCATGAACACTGAAGCCACAGGGCCTTTTGCATATTCTATTCTTTACGCCCAGGGGTGATTGCCAAAATATTTAACCAGCAGTAGGGACATGGGCAGTGACCAATCAGAAGTGACATGGGCTAGAGCAGAATTCTGGAAACCCCCTGTAGAGCCAGTCACTAATTTTTAGGTGGTACATCTAATTGGTAGGGTGGGATTCTCAGCCAGCCTGGGAGACAGGGTGGTTAATTGATAGGAGAGGGTCCAGACAGTGGCTACTCACCAGCCTGTTTACCAACTCAAGGCCATACCAAGTCTTAGTCTATACCTGGAAAATTTCTTCCTTTTCTCACCCTGCAAAACATACACACATCTGATTATGTCATCTCTTCTTTTCTTTCATTTCACTGCAGTTCTTCAGAGGGGCTTCTCCTGACCTTCCTGATGAGGGTTGTTCTCATTGAGATTTTCACTAGAAACTCCTATCCCTTCATTGTACCTTTCACAGTGGTCAGTTTACATATACTCTGTAAGTTATTGAATCATATATCACTCCCATTAGTTTGTATATTCCATGAGGGCAGGGATCATCAATTATCTGACAACCCCATCTTCATCTTCCTCCAGAATTAAAATTCCAGCACCTAATAGGAGCTTAATAAATATTTATTGAATGAATGAATTTTCAAAAAGACTTTAGGACTTCTTTGAACATACATTTGCAAATGTAGCTGATATGCGTGTTAGTTGTGGGATGCATTGTTGGGAAGATAACTTTTTTTTTTAAATTTACCGTCTACTTAATGCCTTCTTATACATTTTTCTGAAATAATTTTCAAGTGGTGGCTAGATCCCATGCTGTGGCTTATCTTTTCTTTCCGTAGAAATGCTTCTCACTCACTTGATGACCAGTGAAATGGTTTAATCTCCCAAATCGACTTATTCATTTTTCTTAAAGCTCAGCAAGAAAAATTACTTAAAAGCCTAAAATGATGTACAGGATGTTAGAAACATTGCAGCAACCAGTGGTAGAAAAGCTGTGTGGAAAAGCTGTGGTCCTACTTTCAAAGGTGTATCAGTCTAGTGATTTTCTCCTTATCCTACTTACAAGTGTTTATAATATTTTCTTTTCCCGTTGCAGTATTAGAACATAGACCATATGTTTTGTTCTCTGTATGACATAGAGCAAAGCCTCACACATTTATATGGATGCATTTTAATGATTGTGATGATGTTACTACAGGATCTTCTGCTAAAGTTTGTCCTTTTTTCTTGAAAATTCCAACAACCTGTTCTTTTTAAGTCTGTTATTTTGTTATTACCAAATTCTTTCTAAGTCCATTTAATGTATAAACTGGATAGCTTTAACTCCTCAAACAATGAAATACTAGTTTGATAATGTTTTACTCCTCAAGGCTTTCCTGTGTTTGAGACTTAACTGTTGTCCCCAGACTTTAATACACCTTGCAACTGCTGCCTAACTTTTTATGAATATTTGACATTTCATGTATCATATTACTGCATTTAATGTTTCCAACACCTTTTATGATTAATTGTCATTGTATTTTATTTGAAAAGTTTAAAAAAATTTTTTGCTTTTCTGCTGTGTATATGTGTGTGTATGTCATTCTTCTCATGATTTTTGGACTACGGTTTCCTCACATGCATGATTAGAAGGAACTTATGGTGGTTATGGCTGTCATATTTAAGTGTAATCTAGAATGATTTAAGTTTTTATTCAACTTAGTAATTGAAAATAATTATGGATACAAAATGTCTTACTGATTAATCAGGAAAAAGGAAGGCAGGCTAGGTATCTGAAAGCCTTTGGTCCAAGTGGGGGAAATCAACCACTGGAAAGGCTTGAGAAGTAATTATTGAATGAAGTAGAATGTGTGTCCTTCCTTATATACTTAAATAATTTCATGATTTTGGCCATAAGTCTCCTGGGACTGAATGCTATTGAAAATAGCTTCAAAATGTCTCAGTTTCATATGCACAGTGTGACAGACACCACATGTGACTCTTGCCATTATCACTTCAGTGCACACATCACTTCCACTTGCTACCAAATGCATTTTTTGAATGGACCTAATGTTTTTTTTTTTCTTTTTTGCCTCTGAAGCCATTTTGCTGTCCCTATGAGAGGCTAGAAGTGCTGGATCATTAATACTTCCTGAAAATAGCCTCCAAACGATGACTCATGGGAGTTGGTGTATAAATACCCCAGATTCCTTGCCCCTTGGCAAGGATAACTGGACAACTGAAGCATAACTCTGGGATTACTCTGAGGCATACGTTCTACACAGGCTGGACTTGCAGAGTTTCCCCAAAGGAATAAGCTGTACTTAGACACAGGGGTTGATGGGTTCATAGCTTACCCTTTATCAGCTGCCTTCCTTTCCCTCTCTTACTTCGCCAGGTCCTGACTGTTTTTGTCATTCACCTCTCAGGTAAACCGCTTGCACTTGAATTCATTTTGCAGTGTTTGCATTAAGGGGAAACTAAACTAAGACACTTGCAGTTTGTAGTAATGGGGACAGTTAGAAGTGGTCACAGATCCCATGATGGTGTAAGTTGCCAACCTGCAGTTCTTAGAGGAGTAGTTCTCAATTGTATTTCCACCTGTTTCAGATTCCCATGGGCCAAGTCAGAGTTATGCCGAAATCCCAGAATTCTAGCCATTCCACCACTTACTCCCCTCGCCTTCCCCAAGAATGTATATTATATTGCAAGTGAACAAGAGAAGCATTACTATAGGAATAACTGATTTAATATATTATTTTAAGTATGTAACTTGCAAGATGTCATATTTTCACACTTGAAATTATTATTATTTGGAACACACTTAATTCTGGTTGAATATATCACATCACATGGCAGGATCCCATAGTTAAGAACCACTGAGATTTCTGTCGTTTGCTTAGCAACAACTAAGACAGCCCAGTTCGTAGCAGCTACTGACTGAGAGTTGTACACCTTCTCTGCGAAAATGGCTGACATTAAAGTCATTCATTTCCCTGTGTGGAACCAGCTGAGTTTTAGCAATCGAAAAAAGTTTCTCTGATTTTAAGTGTGTGCATCCAGCCTACTTCATCATTAACCATGCAGTTTAGGTAGTTTCAAATGGCCATTGAAAATGACACAGGCTATTCACACAATTATTTACTCTCAGCCAGCACATTCAAGTTTATGAAAATTCAGGGAAGCAAAAAATAGTTTCATTTGCAAGATTCTCATACTGAACAATTTTAATCATTAGCATTTTTTTAAACATCTTTATTGGAGTATAATTGCTTTACAATGGTGTGTTAGTTTCTGCTTTATAACAAAGTGAATCAGTTATTCATATACATACGTTCCCATATCTCTTCCCTCTTGCGTCTCCCACCCTCCCTATCCCACCCCTCTAGGTGGTCACATAGCCCTGAGCTGATCTCCCTGTGCTATGCGGCTGCTTCTCACTAGCTATCTATTTTACGTTTGGTAGTGTGTGTATGTCCATTGCCAGTCTCTTACTTTGTCACAGCTTACCCTTTCCCCTGTGCATATCAAGTCCATGCTCTAGTAGGTCTGTGTCTTTTTTCCCGTCTTACCCTTAGGTTCTTCATGACATTTTTTTTTTTCTTAGATTCCATATATATGTGTTAGCATATGGTATTTGTTTTTCTCTTTCCGACTTACTTCACTCTGTTTGACAAACTCTAGGTCCATCCACCTCACTACAAACAACTCAATTTCGTTTATTTTTATGGATGAGTAATATTCCATTGTATATATGTGCCACATCTTCTTTATCCATTCATCTGTTGATGGACACTTAGGTTGCTTCCGTGTCCTGGCTATTGTAAATAGAGCTGCAGTGAACATTTTGGTACATGACTCTTTTTGAATTATGGTTTTCTCAGGGTATATGCCCAGTAGTGGGATTGCTGGGTCCTATGGTAATTCTATTTTTAGTTTTTTAAGGAACCTCCATACTGCTCTCCATAGTGGCTGTATCAATTTACATTTCCACCAACAGTGCAAGAGTGTTCCCTTTTCTCCACACCGTCTCCAGCATTTATTGTTTCTAGATTTGTTGATGATGGCCATTCTGACTGGTGTGAGATGATATCTCATTGTAGTTTTGATTTGCATTTCTCTAATGATTAACATCATTAGCATTTTTTTTAATTCAACATATGTAATTGAGGGCTTTCTGCAATAGTTTCTGAAAAAACAGGCTTAAAATGAACATTGATAATGTTATTTATAATTTATATGCCTATGAGGGATTCAGAGACTATGAAAAGCAGTGTTTCAAGATATCAAATCTGCTGATTTGACTCTTAGTTTAACCAAAAATATTATCATGAGAGAAAATGAGAAAAGTTACAATTTCAGGGTAATAGTTTACTTGTTGTAACTACTATCTAGCAAAAGTTTCAATACTTAATATACTAATATTTAATATTTTAGTATTGTCAAACATTTCTAATTTCGTGAAGCCTCTCTGTCTGCCTATCAGTTACATAAAGAGTTTTTTAAGTATCTACATATCATGCATCTTTTTTGCACCAAAAAAGATTCATTTCATTTGGGGATTTTGAGTGGTTCAGAGTGGTACAGTTTTATGAAAAGAAGAAAATCTGTGTTTTAAAGCAATTCATTTTTTCAAGTCTGACTTCTTTGTATATTTATTTTACAGATTAAAGGATTCACCTGAAGACACAGCATCTATTCATCAGAGACTGGACAAGAGTTACTCTTGCTTTTGGCAATTAAAGATGATGTTGTCATGGAAACAGTTGATCCTGCTTTCATTCATTGGCTGCCTAGGAGGTAACAATAAGCTATATTTTCTAAACTGAAGTTAGAACTATACTTGAGTCATTTGTTAAATAATTTTTAAAAGTTGAACTAATCCTCCACAAGTCTTTTTTTTGTCCCAGAAAGGAAATTCTAATTTTCCCTTCTGATAACTGGATTCTCATTGTGCTTCCTAATGTTTGCAGACCATTATATTTTCATTACAAATATAATGGCATTTAATGTCATGGATCTAATAAGAACCTGCTGTATAAAAAATAAAATAAAGTTCAAATAAAAAAAAGAATAGATACATGGGTACAAAAAATATTATGGATCTACTGTAGTGTTATGAATATAACAGTTAATCAGAATTTGAGAATGTTAATTCATGACTTTTTTACCAAAATGGCTAAATCTTGTAATCTGTAGTGTAAAGGGAAAATACAGATTTTAAAGAATGTCAGTATTTTCATATCTAATCTTAAAAACAATACTGTTTTTCTTTCAGCAAATAAGTTATTTAAGGGACCAAAAATAAGGATAGAATTTTTATTTGTTAATATTGAAAATTTGAAGTTTAGAACAAAACAGAAAGAAAAAGGAATAATTCTCATATACTCACCATACAAAAGCAACTCTTAAAAATCATTTGATGCATTTCCTTCCTGTTCATTTTGTTTCATTTTCTTGAACAGGGGAAGAGTAAGACAAGGATTTTTTTAAATGAAGTAACGTGTACAACGATTAGTTTTTTGCTTTATTTTATTGTATTTTATTTTTTTATTGGGGTATAGTTGTTTTACAATGTTGTGTTAGTTTCTACTGTACAGCAAAGTGGAGTTCCCTGTGCTGTACAGCAGTTTCTCATTAGTTATCTATTTTATACATATTAGTGTATATATGTCAGTCCCAGGCTCCCAATTCATCCCACCCACCCTTTCCCCCCATGGTTCCCCCCATACATTTGTTCTCTACATCTGTGTCTCTATTTCTGCCTTGCAAACAGGTTCATCTGTACCATTTTTCTGGATTCCACATACATGCGTTAATCTACGATGTTTTTCTCTTTTTGACTTACTTCACTCTGTATGACCGTCTCTAGGTCCATCCACATGTCTACACATGACCCAATTTCATTCCATTTTATGGCTGAGTAATATTCCATTGTATATATGGACCACATCTTCTTTATCCATTTGTCTGTCAGTGGGCATTTAGGTTGCTTCCATGACCTGGCTATTGTAAATAGTGCTGCAGTGAACATTGGGGTGCATGTGTCTTTTTGAATTATGGTTTTCTCTGGGTATATGCCCAGTAGTGGGATTGCTGGGTCATATGGTAATTCTATTTTTAGTTTTTTAAGGAACCTCCATAGTATTCTCCATACTGGCTGTATCATTTTACTTTCCCACCAACAGTGCAGGAGGGTTCCCTTTTCTCCATACCCTCTCCAGCATTTATTGTTTCTAGATTTTTTTATGATGGCCATTCTAACCGGTGTGAGGTGATATCTCATTGTAGTTTTGATTTGCATTTCTCTAATAATTAGTGGTGTTGAGCAGCTTTTCATGTGCCTCTTGACCATCTGTATGTCTTCTTTGGAGAAGTGTCTATTTAGGTCTCCTGCTCATTGTTTGATTGGGTTGTTTTTTTGATACCGAGCTGCATGAGTTGTTTTTATATTTTGGAGATTAATCCTTTGTCCGTTGATTTGTTTGCAAAGTTTTCTTTCTTTTTATTATAAAAACTCTCCAGCACCTAAAGGGTTGAAAGAATAGTACAATAAGTACCTATATATGCACCACTTAGATTTAACTATTGTACCATTTACTGTACTTGTTCTATATATATACATATGTGTGTGTATTTCCCATTCATTGTTTGATTGACTACACCATTTGAAAGTAAGTTACAGAAGTTACCACCTCTCACCTCTAAAAATTTCAGCATCCATCTCCTGAGAAGACCTACCTTTTAGATAAACACAGGTGCTTTATGATACTTAAGGAAAGTAACAAAAAAAAGTAGCTTGTCATTTTTCTTTTCTAAGAGGAGGAAATTGGTGTGGAACGAGGCCAAATGCATTGTTAAGTAAAATATATGTTATTTGAAAACATGTTTATATTGGAGTAAACTTCCAAGCCCTTATGTCAAACTTCCAAGCCCTTAAACATTCTTGAAGTATTTAAATGATACTTGAACCTCCAACTTTTAAAATAAACTTTTTTTAAGCAGGTTTTCCGCTGTGATGCCTCACTTTTGTTTCCCAGAACATTTTCTTTCCTACTAATCTAGCACTGAGGAAAAAAGGAGTAATCATTTATAAATTTCTACTCTTTTAAATAGTTTTTGGAGAAGGACCAACACGGATATCAAAATAAGTCTTTTTCTTGGATTATTTTCATTTACAAAATTTTAAATTTGAGTTCTGTTTACAAGGAGAAAATGAAAGGGAATACACTACAGCAGTATTATTATTCGCAGTATCAACTTTCATAGAAACAACCTTGAACTTTTACAATTCGTTGGAAACAGGTAGATATACTCAGAAAATGCAAGTATAGCTAAAGCAAATGAGATCAGTATTTCAAAGGTTTAAAATTTTGAATTGTAATTTTACACTGTGTGCCAATATTTTGTAGAAACATTTTACAGACTTATGAACGAATTTATGGAGAAAGCCGTATCCATTTTACTAAAATATTAAGACATTAAAAAATTTAAAGGTCAACTTGATTTTCTGGGTATGTCAGTAAAAAAGCTATAAAGGTTGGTAAGGGGGAAGTGGACTAATTGATATATGATAAATTATATGTAGGGTATTACTTAGAGAATTGGTAATCTGTATAATTATAGTATGGAGGAAAATTTGTCTCTGACTAATTTTCTAAAGAGTATTGATTGCGTACAGTTCTTTATGTACTGAACATTGGTACTCGTTTTGGATTTACATAAAATTTAGATTAAAAAGCCAGCTTGTGAGTGTGATATTCTGTTAACCAATATTGGGTCATTTTTTAAGTATTAAAGTTAAAATCTGTTCATGAGGTAGGGAAGATCGCTAAATAAATGCCAAGTAAAAACATGTTATGTGAATTCAGTTGTGTAGAGTCGAGTCTATCCAAAGACGTAAACTCAGTAAGTATAGCAAATGCTTGATAATTTGTGTTTTCGGTTTTCTCAGATTTAAGCTTTTTGTTATACATTACTTTCTGCATGTTTAAAACTGTTTCCTTCTGTTGTTCTGTCTCTGCATGTTTCTCTCTGTAGCAAAGGGGCAGATAGTAATTTTTGGCTGGGAATTTTTCCGAAGGTGGATTTAATCGTGTTTTTCCTCCAAAACACCAGGCTGCATTCATTCTTTTCAAAATATTTATTAAGCATCTGTTATGTACCATACATTGTTTCCAGTGAAGAAAGTGGACAGAGATCTGTGTCCCTGTGGGGTTTATATTCCATCATGTTAGGGTAGAAAATGATGTTGATTTAGTAGATGCTCGTGCTGTGAAGGAAAAGAAGCAGAGTAAGATGAGAGTGTTGGGGGGGGCTGAGAAGTGAGTTACCAGAGGTCATCAGGTCCATCCTCATAGAGAAGGTGACATTTGGGCTAAGACTTCGTGGCGAACGAGTTGACCTCGTGGGTATTTAGGGAAGGGAGCTCCAGGCAGAGTCAGCAGTCCATCCAAGTGTCTAATATATGACATGCTGAGGATTTCTAGAAACAGCAGGAAAGTTAGCCTGGTTGGACAAGGAAGAGTTACGGGAAAGAAGTAGTAGGTGAGAGCCAAGAGTTAACGTGGAGATGGATGCGGCAAAAATGAAGGCCTTGTGTATCACTGAAAATATTTAGAGCTTTTGCTCTGAATGCCCTCAGGAGCCATAGTGTGGTTTGATCAGAGAAGTGATGTAATCTGGCTTTTTCTTTTCTTTTTTTTTTTTTTAAGGATCTGGCTGGCTGTTGTGTTGTGGATTGATTGTAGGTGAGCAAGCAGAGGTATCAGTGGGAAGTTAATGCCCTAATTAGGCAAGGGTTGTTTATGTCTGACTCCAGGGTAGTTAGCAGGGGCGGTGGTCAAATTTTGGATATATTTTGAAGGTATATCCATGAGGATTTGTGGATGGAATATATGTGGGATATGAGAGAAAAGAAAACCTTTATGATAACCTCAAGGCTCTATGTCACCTTGTGCCCACATCAAGAGGTGTACCTTATGAATGAAATGAAGACCCTGCACAAAATAAGGATGAGAGTTTTCCAAACTAAAGGTCACTACCAAATAGTGGGTTAAAAAAATCAATTCTGTGGGTCACATTTAGCATTTTTTATTAGAATAAATAAATTAAAATTAAAGTAAGACTAGAGTGTAGTATATCAGCATACACTGCCCACTTAGTAAATATTGTCTGTTGAGCACTTCTGGGCATTTGGGACATGGCAGTGAATAAAACAGACAATGTCCCAGTCCTCATGGAGCTGTCCTTTTAATATTGTGTATTGGGTCTTGATCTTACATATATTTCTTACTGAGTTGCTATGAAAAAAGTTTAAGAGCCAGAGACCTAGTTAGAGAACAGAGAGATAGAGACAAGAAGAGGAAGGAACACTCAGATGAGGAAAACAGTAGTAATGACAGGAAAATTAATAATACTAACAATAGTAATTGATGCTCATTCATTGTGTACCAGGCACTGTGGAAAATGCTTTACTTAGGTCATCTAGTTAACAAAAATAAAATGAGATAGATATTATTTCTATTTTGGAGATTAGGGAACAGTCTCTAAGAGTTTAAGTAACTTGCCCAGTCTACTGGTTGTCTCAAGATTTCTGTTTATCTCTGTAATCAGAGTATAGTTCCCTATCACTAGAATTTACCACTTCAGTAGTTTCTCTTCTGGAATGAAGTCAGAGGTATACGCCATGGGCTAAAAATCGTCAAGGACCCAAGGAGATTGTTATCTTGCTCCTTAATTACCTATTAGTTCGTTGCTTAACTGTATTAGATGCTTCACATGTTCACTGTCCTATATGG